AGCCAAGAAATGGAGGCAACTTAAGTGTCCATCAGTGGATGAATGGATAAAGAAGATGTGGTACATATATACAATGGAATATTATTCAGCCATAAGAAGAAAACAAATCCTACCATTTGTAACAACATAGATAGATCTAGAGGGTATTATGCTCAGTGAAGTAAGGCAGGCGGAGAAAGACAAGTACCAAATGATTTCACTCATCTGTGGAGTATGAGAACAAAGCAAAATCTGAAGGAACAAAACATTAGCAGACTCATAGAACCCAAGAATGGACTAACAGTTGCCAAAGGGAAAAGGACATGGGAGGGTGGGTGGCAAGGGAGGGAGAAGGGGAATAAGGGGCATTACGATTAGCACACATAATGTAGGGGAGGTGGCATGGGGAAGGCAGTATAGCACAGAGAGGACAAGCAGTGACTCCAGAGCATCCTACTATGCTGATGGACAGTAACTGTAATGGGGTATGTGGTGGGGACTTGATAATGGGGGGAATCTAGTAACCAAAATGTTGCTCATGTGATTGTATATTAATGATACCAAAAAAAAATGCAAGTCACTCAAAAAAAACCCAAAACTAATCAAATAATATTCGTTTTAATAGTAAGTCTCAAACAAAATTTCCTTGCAATGTCCTATCCTATTGCTTTTTGAAATGTAGATAGTAAGTTGAACTCTCCTAGAGGAAAAGTTTGAGTTTTATTTTTCTGGACTGTGTTGAAATGTCTAAACAATATGCTAATGTACCATTAATTGGTTAAATATTTAAGCCTTGCAAAATGAGAAAGTATTTATGCATTCCTGATTTATATATGTAAAAGTCATTTTTAGCTCTTATTGTATGAACAAAGTTTAATTCTGACAACCACAAGCACACTTACAAACTTTAATACTAAAGAGATGGTTTCAGAACACCTTCTATATCATAGGGATATATTTCCTCTAATATTTACATTTAATATGGGGGTACAGGTAATGTGTGCATAGTTATTTATAGATAGTTGGCAATTGTGCAGTACTGTTGGATCCTTGTAGAAGGGAAATAAAAGCTATATTCTATGTATTAGTCTGAAAAAAAAAGATTTACTGAATTATTTCCTTGCTCAATGTACTGCTAGATTTAAACTGCAATTTGCAAATACCAAATATCCTTTTAGGTTTATATTTGTTATATTCTAGCTGGAATTAAATTCTGCACTATCTGATCTAAAAGATGACCAGAATTAACACCTACTTCGTATCTTATAATTGAGAAAATAGTGCTAAAAACTGATAAACTGTTCAAGTGAGTACTCTTACTTCTTATTTTTAAATTTCACCAAAAGACTGGGGTATTTATTAATGTATCTGTGTTCCCAAACTTCCCCTTTGTGAAAAGTAAAGCCTTTTAAAAAAAATACAATTTTGGAGAAGAAATAAAAAGTAGGCAAATTTCATAAATTTCACTAGGTATCTGGTACATAGTAAAATTTATTAGTCACTATATGAATTATATACCTACTTCTGGTAAGCCAAGTCTATGTACATACTCTAGCACTCTCAAGAAAAGCTTTCAAAAAGAAATACTAGTAAATCAAATTCAACAATACATTAAAAGGATCATATACCATGATCAAGTGGGATTTATTCTAGAGATGCAAGGATGGTGCAACATTTGCAAATTAATCAATGTGATACAGTACATTAATGAAATGATTATCTCAATAGATCCAAAATAAGCATTTGGCAAAATTCAACATCCATTCATGAAAAAATCTCTCCATAAAATGGGTATAGAGGAAACATACCTCAACATCATAAAGGCCATATGTAACAAGTCCATAGCTAACATCATACTCAAAGGTGAAAAGTTTTCCTCTTAAGATCAGAAACAAGACAAGGACTCCAACTCTCACCATTTTTACTCAACATAGTATTGGAAGTCCTAGGCAGAGTAACTGGGCAGGAAAAGGAAATAAAAGGCATCCAAATCGGAAAATAAGTAAAACTGTCACTTTGAGTATGACATGGTTTTACATATAGAAAACCTTAAAGACTCCACCAAACACCTGTTAGAATAAATGAATTCAGTAAAGTCACAGGGTACAAAATCAACATACAAAAGATGGTTACATTTTTATACACTAACAACAAAATATCAGAAAGAGAAATTAAGAAAACAATCTCTCATACAATTACATTTGAAAAGAACAAAATACCTAGGAATAAGTATATCCAAGGAGGTAAAAGACCTGTACACTGAAAACTATAAAACAGTGATGAAAGAAATATAAGACACAAATAAATGTAAAGATAATCCATGCTCATGGATTTGAAGAATATTGTTAAAATTATTGTCCATACTATCCAAAGCAATCTACAGATTCAGTGCAATCCCTATCAAAATTCCAATGGCATTTTTCACAGAAATAGAACAATCCTAAAATTAGTATGGATCCACAAAAGATTAAAAATAGCCAAACCATCACTGAGAAAGAATAACAAAGCTGTAGACATCATACTGCCTTATTTCAAACTATACTACAATGCTACAGTAATCAAAAACAGTATGGCATTGTCATAAAAACAGACACATAGATCAATGGAACAGAATAGAGAGCCCAGAAATAAACTCACACATATATGGTCAATTAACTTACAACAAAGGAAGCAGGAATATACAATGGGGACAGGACAGTTTTTTCATAAGTGGTGTTGGGAAAACTGGACAGCCACATTCATAAGAATGAAATTGTACCCTGTCTTACATGACTCATAAAAAATTAACTCAAAATGGATTGAAGACTTAAATACAATATCTAAAAACATAAAACTCCTAGAAGAAAACATAGGGAATGAGTTCCTTAACTTGGATCTTGGAAATGATTTCTTGTATATGACCCCAAAACTACAAACTATAAAAACAAAAATAAATGAGACTACATTAAACTACAAAGTTTGTGTACAGAAAAAAAAAGCAAAACATGGTAACCTATGGAATGGGAGAAAAATATTTGCAAACCACAATCTGATAAGGGGTTAATATTCAAAATACATAAGGAATTTATACAACTCAAGAGCAAAAAAGCCAAATAAAACATCATCTCAATGACAAATACTATATGAGAAATGAGATATCACCTCACACCTGCTAGAATGGCTATTATCAAAAAGACAAGAGATAATAAGTGCTAATAAGGGTGTGGAGAAAAGGGAAGCCTTTATACCTCAAAAAGACAAATACTGTATGATCTCATCAAATGTGGAATCTAAAAATACTCAATTCATAGAAACAGAGAGTAGATTGGTAGTTGCCAGAGGCCGGGGTGGCAGGTGAGGGAAATGGTTGAAGGTAGTTAAAGCATACAAGCTTCCAGTAACAAGGTGAGTAAGTTCTGGGGATGTAATGTACAGCATAGTGACTATAGTTAACAATGCTGTAATGTATATTTGAAAGATGCTCAGAGAGTAGATCTTAAAACTTCTCAACACATACAAAATTGTAACTATGTGAGGTGATGTAGGTGTTAAGTAACTTTATTGTGGTAATCATTTTACAATATAAACATATATGAAATCCTCATATTGTACACTTTAAACTTACACAATGTTATATATACACAATGCCAGTAATATCTCAATAAAGCTGGGGGGAAAAAGAGAGAGAGAAATGAAGACTGGAAAAAAGGTTGAGAGGACTGATGCTGGGATGTCAGTGCATCCCCATCTGTGCACCCATTAGTTTGCCAGAAATGTTTGGGCCTCCTCAGGTTTGTATTCCATAAAAAGTCTTCACTGAATTATATCCTTTATGTTCAATCTCCATGTTTTATCAAGGGATTATATAATAAAAGCCCGTTTAAGAACTTTCTGCATACTCTAGTAAATCACTGCTAAAGACCTGCCTGTTTCTCTGATTGATATCCCTTACACAAGGTCTTACCAGACTGACTTACCAGAATTCAGCTCCAAGAAAAAGCTGACTTTTCCTGCTGTTATGTTTCCTTTTTATTTATTTTTAATCATACCATAAGAATTTCATACCTCCATGTTATCCATTTGCTTTGTTGCCAAGAGGCTAAAAACAAAATATTTTCAAGTACAGCAGATACAATTATCTAAACCTTTGGTATAATTATTTCCCTATTTTGACATAATAATTTTATTATATATGTGTTTCTTAATATAATTCAGATTACAGCTGGGTATAAGCAATAAATAATCAAGAATAAACAAATGTAATTGAGGTTAAATTAGCAAACATATAATAAAATAAGTAAAATGACTCCAGTACTGGCTTTGATATACAGACTTTTCTAACATCTGGAAGGAAGATTGACAGAATAAAGGGTTTCTGTCTTCCCAAGGACTCAGGTCTAACTCAGCCACCACCTTCTTACCCATATCTCCCCCAGTGCCTCATGAAGTAATTTTGTTAGATTGTTTTGTACTGCTATTTGAATTAAGATTCATTTTTCCATTCAGAGAAAAAAGAAAGTAAAATAAATCATTTTAGTTCTAGGGAAATCTGTCCTGGGAAAACAGGTCTGTTATTTACTGGAGATTTTATTATTTACTTCACAATAGCAGGGATGGTGTCTGTTTTGTTGAGATCTCCATCTCTAGCACCTAGAACAGCAGCATCAGGCATAGAACACGCACTCAACAAATATGAACCAAAGAATGATTATTAATATACTACTCTTTGTTTTAGAATGTATAATAAAACAACTCAGGAAATTTGCTATTGCTATTTTAAGTCCTTTTGGCCTATTTTCATCAAGGTGCTATTCAGAATCAGTAAGAAAATTATGAAAAGGCCAGATGCCACTGCAATCAATACTGCATAATTTTTGTAAATCTTATTTTTTTCAGTCAGTGTTGTTTGGGCCTAAGGTTATTTATGCTTTACATAAAATTCAAAAAACAATTTAAAACACTACACTTTCTGATGCCATAAATGTTATATTGAGCCTAAATAAAATATTGTGAATTTCATTAAAACAATTACTTTAACCTACCTTCTCTTGTAAAAGTCGAAAAAGAATCCATGGCATTATGCACAAAATATAGAGTACTATTGTGTGCTGATTACATAAGCTAAGGCCACAGCAGAATGCACCAATTTTAGCTATCTGAAAGCAAATATAAAATTTAAGTTAAAAATTCACCTTTAAGTAAAAAACTTTAAGTAAGCACAATAGTAAAAGCCATTCTTTATATTAAAACTTGGGATTTGTACCAGAGGTCAGGTTAAAATCAGCCTCATAGATGCAAACAGTCATGCTTTAGTAGTCACCAGTACATATCACCATTATTTTTTATTATTATTTTCTATTCTTGTCAAATCATTGTAGTTTGATCTTAAATGACTATTTTCAAAGTACATTTAAGAAAGTGTTATGTGATGACTATATAAGTGTTAATAGTTATAGGATACTGTGTAATTCTTATTCAAGTAAATCTATAACAGCAATTCCATCTTACTATTTCTCCTATAAATAGACAAAATATAACACTTATTATTTAGAAACCTGGTTATCTGTGGGTGGTATTTTTTTAAATATGTGTTATTTTCATAATCAGAAAAAAAGTTTATTTTAAACAAAAAATAAACTTTAATAGCATCATACATCTGTTTACAGAAACTAGAGATAAACCATGATATTCTTTTGTTTCTATATCCTTCAGTATCAGTCTGCTTATATATACTAAGATGATTTGGCACTTTCCAATGTGTAGACTGTAAGCTCTTAGAAGACAGGATTCCTTCATTTTTCCAGTGATTTTGATATCAGTGTTTTCCTTATAATCCATTCTATTTCTTCTGACCTAAACAGTGGTAGAAGTTACACACACACACACACACACACACACAGAGACACACACACAATTGTGGAGTTAAGTAACAAACTTATCTTTTCCATTGGACTTGGAAAGGATTTCATAATCCTTTCATTCTCCAAAAAGCTTCTGAACTCTGAGAGTAAAATAAGTCCCGTGTTTTATAAAGGCTATAATGGTTTACAGTAAAAGAACTGAGAATATTTTGTCTCTCAACAGGCCTAGATTACCTTGACAATAATCAGAATAAACAGCATCTAAACCAGAGTTTTTAAAAAAAGTACAGCATCTGTCTAAAAATTAAAACAAAAAGTGATCTCACTTAGATCAAAATAGGTTACCTTTGATCTTTCTTTTGCAGTTGCTGCCTCCTCAAAGTGTACTGTAAGAGCCATAAGCAGCCCCACAAACAGATTGTTTAAGCTGAAAACCTCTGCTGCAGTGGACCACTGCCATGTGAGCCGGGAGAATGAAAACACCCCCGCAGCAAGGATTCCTCCAGCACAGGAGCCAGAAAGCCTGCAAACACAGATAACATGAAATCTTCTTTCCCAACAATAAGGCCCGACTTTAGTTCCCTTTTTATAAACTGTAACAGCAGAAATTATGACAGTCGCCAAGTACTATCCCAACATATTATATGGTTAATATATTACTTCATGTAATAATTTCTTACAACATACTTTAATTAGGAAGTCCATATATTAACCCATTAACAAACAAATGAAGAAAACTGCTTGTTATCCTATGGATTGAACAAGGTTTAGTTCCCAGATGTAACCTCTAGGATTCAAGCCAATTTAGAAAGCCAGATAGTAGCCAGAGAAACAATAAACCTGTGTAATTTTTCTTGCTATGTCCATGAAGGAGAATGGTGGTCTGAATAAGACTGAAATATGTTTAACTGTAAAAATCAAGGAAATGGCAAAATGTCTATTTAGGAACACTCATTCTCATTTCTTGTGGAATGTCTGGATTTAGGCACTTTCCATATTTATTGCCCAATATATGGCAAAGAAGGTCTTGGTCATGATACCTGGTGATTTTAAGTTCTTGAAAGCTAGGTTTTTGGTTTCTGATGGTTTCCTTTCTATGCAAAATTTAAGTTAAAAACAATGTATTTTTTAAAGAAAGGGACAGGAATGTTGATTTCAATAACACAAAAAGAATCAAATGCTACACCTGGAAACAAATTTCTTGCCCCCAAATGCCAACAAGGTCTTACATTTAAAATCAAGCAGGAGTCTGAATTCAGATATTTGATTTGATACTGGTAATGTGGTTGAAAATACCAGAGCATATCAAACCAAACGACTTCCTACTTCACTATAAATCTTAAACCATGAAAATTAAAACTGTTATAGAATATTTAACAACTGTTAGGAAATTCAGCAAGCATTATCGTGTCCAATAATTATGACATTATATGGTCATATAACTATATTATTTTGAATAAAAAGTTATGGAGTAATTCTATGGCTTTTAATCAATGATTTTAGGGAAAAAAAGTTATAATAAAAATTTCAATATCACCCCAAACCTGTTTTTCTTTGAGTTTCTCTTTGTAATTTATTTCTGTTTTCCTTCCCTTATAAAAATCATCAGTTTCTTATTTTTGGAATGAGTTCTTCATTCTTCCAGTGATCTAATTCAACACATTAAAGTCATTTCTTCCTTCCAAATTACTTTCCAAATTCTTTTCTATTTGCATTTCTACTGCCTTAGACTCAATTATTTTAATAGCTCCCTACATTACCTTCTGTTTTCCAATCTATTCTGCAATACAACATCAAATTAAATTTCCTAAAACATACTCTTTATGACTACCTGGCCCCAAAACTTAAGGACCCTTCAGTGCCTATAGGATAAATTCGAAATGAGTCAGCCTGGAATCCAGGCTCCCAGTAAACTAGACTCCACTTAGCCACTAATTACCAACATTTTAATCTCCACCAACTAGTCAGGCTCCTCAAAATTCCCTAATAAGGCATGCCTGTTCCTAGTGCCATGCCTTCGCTCATGCTGTACCCCTGAATCGAATATCTGCTTTGCTCCTTTCTGTTTATTCAAACTCTACACTCTTCTCTCAAATTTCTCTTCAATTCCCAGGTTTCTAGACCATCAATGCTATGTAACTGTCTATAACAATTATTTTGACATTGTTTTTGAAATGAGACCTGGAGCTCCCCTTCATTTATATTGGAAGCATTTAGTCCCAAGCATAGAAAAGAATATGAATGAATGAGAGAATTAATTAAAATGTTAGTAACATTTTTAAAGGAACGTCTAAGCTTCATCTGTTGATACTACTTTGGAAAGTGCCAATACTACTTTGGAAAGTTAGCATAAGATACAAGATTCCTTTCTCTACTTAAAGTACAAATTTGCAGAAGGGGAATAAGAGGCCTTATGATTAGCAAACAGGGGTGGGGTACGGGGAAGGCAGTACAGCACAGAGAAGACAAGTAATGATTCTATAGCATCTTACTATGCTGATGGACAGTGACTGTAATGGGGTATATGATGGGGACTTGATAATGGGGGGAATCTAGTAACCACAATGTTGCTCATGTAATTGTATATTAATGATACCAAAAGAAAAAGAAAAAAATATATAAAATGCGTCCTTGGAGAGATGGCTGATCTCAGTGCTAGCTAGATCAAGTACCAACTGAATCTGAAATATATTATACCAGAAAGTAAGGAAGTGTTCAAAAGGGGATATGACAAAAGGAGCCACCTGACAGGAGCTACATCAGGGATAATCTGAGCATAAAAATAATTACAGTAATAGGTTGTCAACCAGTGAATAAATAATATATGAATGTATAGTGATATAAATAAAAAATTGGGGGAGAAGAGAAAGTCCATTAAAAGTCAGTAACTAATAACTGTAGAAGAAATTATGGAATTAGAAATCACCATTTGGCAACCATCATACCTATGGATACCACAACTAGTGGGTAAAAGTTTTGTAGCAACAGAAATATGTACATAGTTGAAAGGTATTCCCAACAAGTAGATTAACTACATAGGGAAAATGGTAATTTTACAGTGGAAAACCTGGCAGATACAATCTTAACCACATGATTAAAGTTAACAGCCCAGTAATGGACAAATATGCTTCCCAATGTAGTCCAACGAAGAGAATACAGCATCATTTTTATGGTATTCCTGTCAAAATGCATTACCTGAATCTAAGCATGAGACATCAGGCAAACTGAAGAACATTCTACAATATAACTGAGCTTTAAGTATCAAAAAAATATCAATATATCAAGGTCTTAAAAGAAAAAATATCCATGAGGAACATTTCCAAATGAAGGAAGACACTAAGGAGAATAAAGGGCATGGTCTGGGATTTTCTTCTATTCAAGTGTGCTATAAAGGACATTATTGGGACAGCTGGCAGAAATCTGAGTCGTAAGTCTGTAGATTATTAGATAACAATGTTGTGTCAATGACAATTTCCTGCTTTGAGAAGTGAACTATGGATATGTACAAAAATGTTCTGTTTTTAAGAAACAGACTTTGAAGCATTTAAAGGTAAAGGGTACCACCTGTGCAACCTACTCTGAAACAGTAAACAAAACAACGCACACATATACACAGCATCAAGGACAAAGCAAGTGCCAACATATTAAAATTTAGGCAACCTGGGTGAAGGATATATAAGGAGTGGGGTATTGTAGTGACTTCTCTAAAAAAGCAAGATTCTGTCAAAATAAAAAGTTAAAAAAATAAAACAAATTCCTGATATAATTTACTAACATTTATTGAGTTTTTGCCTGCCACGTGTTAGGTGTTGTTCTAAGTGCTTTCCTTATATTACTTCATTTGATTTTCACAATAACCCTATGAAGTAGTTGCTATTTAACCTGTTTTTCAAATGAAGAAACTGAGGCCAAGTACTTTTTCTAAGGTCCTATTGCAATTATGTGGCAGAAACAGGATTCAAACTTATATAGTCTATTTAGTGCCATTACATTATGGGGTAAAAGATGGTTATTTTAGTTTTAATGTCAATTTATTCTAGGTTAATGATAAATTGCACTTTTATTTGGTTAACTATGTACCATCTGGAGTGAAGAGTAGAACACAATAAAGTTTTATAAATTAGAATTGTGTTTATTTCTATGCTTTATTAAGACACTACCAGCTTGAATTATATTCAGTACTTCTCAAGACTGGTTTTAATTTATTTTTTCTTAAAGGGTAATTTATCAAAATTTAAGACCACCTAACAGTTAATAAAAGAGAATTGAGAAGGAAGTCCTGGTTTGTGTGAATCCTTAGGAGGAAAATTCAAGAGGCACTAATACACAATGATTTTTAATACATTATTATGCTAAGGAAGACATCCTAAAGTGTTTGAACTGTTGACTTTAATTATTGGAATTCTGAACTAAGTAAACTGCCTTTTCAAATATTTCATGAAGTTTTAAAAATTGAAGAGAGTAAGGTAAAATTATCACTTGCAGCGATAAAACTTATCCAGTCATCCTAGACTATTATAGATAGTTACACACAATAGCACTTTATTGAAGACAAATCCTACATCAGGAAGGCCTATAATCTGGATTCTCTCCCCATAACCTCTGCCAAGGTCAGGGCAGTTTTGCAATGAATAATCATATACTCTTTCACCTGACTTTCCTTGATGCCAGAGAAATAATTTGTGAGACTGCTGAGTAAGGTTAGAGATGAGAAAGTAACTGATTATAAAACCAGTAATTGAAATCAAACCTATAATCTTGATCTGTTCAGCATCTCAAATCAGCTTCCTTAGAAATCAAACTAATGTAAATTGGGGACAAAAGGATAGTGGATATTTTCTTTTGTTTTTGTGTTTTTTGGCTGCTCAACATCTAAAAGCCCTTCCTATGTGAAGGGTATCCAGTTTATGAGGCACAGTCCCCTCCCATTACACTCACTAAGAACACAAGATACTCGTTCAGTCTCCTTGCAGCTGCAGTACAAGTGTAGGACCTAGACTCTGCCTGTCAAAAGCACCTCTGTCCTTTTACTTGGAAATTTGTTAGGCAAAGCAGCAGGGATGGGGACAGAATCCACATAGTCTGGATTCTGTGCATTTATGTGATATTTCCAGAGACAAAGATGGCAGGCACTTTCGGGGCAAAGAATCCAGGTGAGTATTGATGCTAGAAGCTGGGGTGTCTGAGGCCAAGAGATGGCAGCAGTCGCGGTTTCACCAGAACATCCTGCCTGTTATTCTGGATGATTCTGGCTCAGAGCCTGGTGATCCAGCCCTAGAAATTCTGTGATCTCTTCAACTGTTTTTTTCTTCCCAATTCTGGAATTGAATGTTTCCATTTGTAAAAAAGTTTCATTGAGATATAATTCAGACCACATAATTCACCCGAAGTATACAATTAAGTGTTTAACATATTCATAGATATATGCCACCATTTCCACAAATAATTTTATAACATTTCTATCACCTCAAAAATAAACTCTCTACTCTTTAGCTTCACTTGCCAATCTCCAGTTCCAATCCC